ATTCTATGTCTGCCTAGACCTAGACACTCTATGCATATTTTAAGATTATGACTTTTAATAAAATATTTTAACAAGAAAAAGTGCTATGAAACTCCTCTTGAGATCTTTCCTCCCCGACTAGCACAGGCCTTCTCCTACAATGGCTATTAGAGCATGGGAAACCTGTGGGATCTCTGCTCAATATACATAGCCAAACAAACTAGCCATGGTTTGTTTAGCATAACTATCTTAATAGGATTCCTGGCTTATTGTTCTCAAAAGAAGCAAGAACATAAGTCAAGACAGAAGAGTTTCAGATTCTGGCTTCTTTAAAAGCAATAAATCATGAATAGAAATCTGATTTATCTAAGTGCTCTCCCTAGCCTAAAAAACATAGCAAAAGTGATTGGTACCCCATGTATCACCAGTTTTGTGCAATGATAATAAACCAGAATTAAAATTAAGAATCCTTAATTCTGTTAAATCCAGGATACTCAGGTATTAACTTATATTAACATTAAAAAGGAAATTTAACCTTAAGTCTCATTGTTAGAATATAAAGACCTGACCTCCAATATGTGTTAATTAGTTAAGAACTCTGTAAATCAACATGAAAAAGAGTAAAAGCCAAATGACAGCTGATAAATTAGATGCAAACTATGCATGAACTGATAAACCTATTGCTATTTTTGTCTTTTGTTTAAAAACAGACCTGAAGGACTTGGAATTTAATTGAAACAGGAGCAAGGGGATTTATTTTTCCATCATGTCATTTTTTTACTAGTTATCAAGACATGGAGTGTTTCAAATTGGTTTTCCAAGGAAATACAAATACTGTATTTTTGCCCTTTCAAGCAAAAGACAAGTTTGGCCTGTTGGTTTCAAGTGACTTCTGGGGTGGAAATGGAAGAGATTTTAAAGACCCCAGCATGTTTACTGTTCTGATCCAATTCAAAATTCACCACAGCTATGTTTAAATAAAAAAAATATTATAGGTCTTGCTTTTAGATTGAGCCTTATTAAAACAAGAAAATGAGATAGCAAATCCTGTCGCATGCCCTTTAAATTCAGTAAAGTGAGTATATGCTTTGATTTTTCTACGCTTAGGATAAGATGTGATTCCATCAAGAAACATACATAATTCTTACAATGAAACCATGGCTGGATGCTACTGGTTACAAGCTCTGGTTAATTATAAATCTGAAATGTCATTATGTCAGAATCCAAAATTTATTTCTAACCTGCCTTTATTATTTGTACAAATAATTCAAGGTGGTGAATATATCCAACACTCCTTCCTCCTCCTATTGTCCCCATAACAACAACCCTGTGAAGCAGGTTGGGCTGAGGGAGGGTGATTGGCTCAAAATCACCAGGCTGGTTTTCATGTGTAAGGCAAGACTAGAATTCACAGTGTCCCAGTTTTTAGCCTGGTGCCTTAACCACCAGACCAAACTGTCTGTCATGGCTTATTTGTGGCTTTATGGTTTATTTCCGACTGTTTGATAAAACCAATTCTGGTTCTGGCAAAAGACACTGAGGAAAAATTAAATAGAAACTAATTCAATGAGCTAGGATTGTTTTGCTAATTTCCAGGGCCAACTGACTTGAATAGTCCATGGTTAAAAAAAATCAGATTTAGTGTTATGTGCAATTATAACCTAGGAGTTCAGTACCAAATATACCTAGGTGTAACCAGTAAAAGCATAAAATGAGACATAATGGGTAGGATCATACATGTTGTATTTAGTTAGTTTGTAGCTCAATATGCTTTTATTTATTTACATCTCATTTTTTTCTCAGGGGGATTCAAGGCAACATATATGTGGATCTCCCCTAATGTTATGGTTATAACAACTATCCTAGGATTAGTTGGAGAGAGTCTGATTGTCCCAGCATTACCTTGCAAGTTCCATGACAAAGACTTGAGTGTGAACTATATGTTAGCATGGTACGTCAATACTGTAGGCTAGTGAGAACTGAAAGCTTTTCATTAAAGAGCAAGACAGATCAGAAAGAAGAAGGGGAAAGAAAGTCTCTAAAGGATAATAATAAAGCCGATGAATAGGTTAGAGTTAGACAATCAATACAGAATTCAAATAGAGCCTGAAAGAACTCCAGAATTTAAGGGGGAGGAAGACTCTTTTATACAAGACTACAGCTGGAAATCTCACTAGCCAGTACACAGCAGTTGTGTAAGTTTTGTATAAATAAGTTCTCCTTTACATAAACAAACAATCACATTCAAGTCTAGCCCAGAGTTAGTTCATGGTGCACTATTCTGCCCACCGCAATATGTAAACTGTGGATTAATCAGTATTATTATATGAATATATCATGTGAATACGGCCAGAAAGGCTATGTCAGACAGAAGTGTCTTCCTAAAGGAATTCTGGGTATAAGGAAGAAATTCTCAGGAAAAATATTTAAGGAGTGCTTTTGGCAAGGTTCTCATTTATATGCTCCCACCTACCCTGTATTTCGGAAGGTAGAGATGCCCTGAATTTGAATGTCTGCTAATATTCATAGAAGACATATATAATGGTATTATTACTTCTATCTTTTTTCAGACTAGATTAACCTTTTGGGCATATTAGTATAATCCCTATGTTGGAATAAAAAAGGATTTGTTTCTGTTTCTGATGTGATGTCAGGGACTCAATAAAATTTTCTCATTAGGAAGTAGTTTCTCAACAGTTGCTACCAATCAGTATCCCATACCAGGAAGGGACAGATAAAGGGAATAATACTTATCAACCCCTTATCAAATGAACTTAGTTCAATGGAAGAACAAGATAATTGTGGGCAACGGAAGGCAAAGTTCTTGTATTTTGAAGAGTAGAGAGATGTCGGTTTCTTCATCTTAGCACAGCCAGTACACAAGCAGAAGCAAGATGAGGAACCTACAATTATCCAGATGTAGAAAAGTATCTTTTCTACATCTGGTCTTCTCCTACAATGGCTTCCCAGAAATTCTAACCATGATACAGTTATGAGGGATGCAGAGAGGTGTAGTTCAGCAATATATGAAGGGCCTCAGGCTTCCCATTTCTTCTAAGGAAAGGGAGTGTTACAAAGAAGGGAGGGGCCCAAATTACGTTTGTCAACCCCTGGCAACTTGAAGATCTGTGGACTTTAAGTTGCCAAGAATGAGAAACACTGTTGTGTTGACTAATAAGTCAACACAACATACACACATCTCCTTTGGAAGGCATATGCTATGACGTGCATGTCAGTAAAACAACAAGTGGAAGGATAGACATAACAGCTTCTTCCCTGGGATACACTATAGTTGATCTATCATCTATCTATCTATCTATCTATCTATCTATCTATCTATCTATCTATCTATCTATCTATCTATCTATCTATCTATCTATCTACCTACCTACCTACCTACCTACCTACCTACCTACCCTATTACCTACCTACCTACCCTATTACCTACCTACCTACCTGCCTGCCTACCTACCTAGTTAATCTCTATCTACCTACCTACCTTATTACCTACCTACCTACCCTATTACCTACCTACCTGCCTACCTACCTACCTAATTAATCTCTATTATCTATCTATCTATCTATCTATCTATCTATCTATCTATCTATCTATCTATCTATCTATCTACCTACCTACCTACCTACCCTATTACCTACCTACGTACCCTATTACCTACCTACCTACCTGCCTACCTACCTAATTAATCTCTATTATCTATCTAATCTATCTATCTATCTACCTACCTACCCTATTACCTACCTATCTACCCTATTACCTACCTACCTACCTAATTAATCTCTATTATCTATCTATCTATTTACCTACCTACCTACCCTATTACCTACCTACCCTATTACCTACCTACCCTATTACCTACCTACCCTATTACCTACCTACCTGCCTACCTACCTAATTAATCTCTATCTATCTATCTATTTATCTATCTATCTATCTATCTATCTATCTATCTATCTATCTATCTATCATCTATCATCTATCTATCTATCTATCTTGGGAAAATCCAAACACTGGCAACAAATGTTAGAAAGGTGCTCTCTTTCAAGGGTTATCACACAAAGATCCTTTTCTCAGAAGGAAGAGAGAAAATGTCTTTGACAGCCAAAAAAAAAAAAAAAAAGTCAGCTTGTGCTGAGAAAGGATCGATCTGAATTTGTGTGTGTCTCTAGTGCAGAAGTGGTTCACGAAGAGCTTCATTTTTTGATGTGGTCAGTGGGAGTGGCGGAGTTGACACAGAGGGAAGATTACAATGCAGGAAGTGCCTTTGAGAACGATGAAATACTGTTTAATTATCTCTCCAGAGTGACCAGACAACAAGGATCCTTTCCGGCAAGCTGGAGGAGCGGCCAAAAGCTTTCTCAATGGAAGCAAAGAGGAATATCTATCCCTACAGGTATGCAAGCAATGGTGTGCAGGAAGATTCCCTCACACTCAGCAATACACACACCTACTCAGAAAGTCTTTTCCCCAAACTGTTGTCCTCCAGGCATGTTCCATCATTTCCAGAGGAGGACCTTACATTGGCGCCCAATACATCTGGGGAAAACTGCCCAGATTGGGGAAAACTGCCAAAGTTGTGACAGCCCGGAGAGGAAGAGAGCGGAGGAGCAGCCGCCCTCGCTGGGATGGCTCTCGGAGTCCCTTTCTCGCCTTTCCAAGACTTCACTCCCAGGGGAAATCCGTTTCTCCCAATGCAAAGGGCCGACAGCGGACTCTCTCTTCCTGCACCCAGACAGTTAATCCCCTGGGAAATCTGCGGAGGAGTTAAAGGGAGAAGGTCGGGGGCAGAGGCAGCTCTGGAGAGGCGGCGCGAGGAGTCGAGCTGCCTTTCGGGGAAGGCTAGCGGGGTGAAGCCAGATTGAAGCAGAGACTGAGGGAGGCGGCGGCGGCTGAGGAGGCGCCGGCACTGCGGAGCTCGCTTTGGGGAGAGGGGGCTTGCACCGGGGGCAACGGCAGGGAGGGGGAGGCGGTCGGCGAAGACAGGGTCGGCGGCTCTCCTTACCAGATGAAGTCGGTGCAGTGGCTGCAGAAGGTGGGCTGCCTGAAGAACCGCGCGATGAATTTATGGTCCCGGACTTCGTGCACGTTTTTCTGCCGAAGGGCCCCTTTCCGGGCGAACCGCCGAGCCGCGTCGGGACCCGAACCGGGTTCGGAGGGTGGGAAGACGTCGGCCATGGCGCGCGCGCCCGAGCGAACCCCCCCCCCTTTCCCCGCCTCTCGCTCCTTCCTGCTTTCCCCTCGACTTCGCTTTGAGCCAGGAAGCCGCTTCGCCCGGCTCTGCCCCGTCCGGCACCCGCCGACACTTCTGGCAGCTGTGTGGATGGGCGCTGCCTCCTGCCCGCTTGGGCTCCTCCTGACGTCTGAGCCACGCGCGGCAGGGAGGCGGGAGGAGGATCCCAGCCCCGGGCCAGACCCGACGGCTCCGCCCGCCTGTCCGCCCGCCCGCCCGCTGGCGCGCTCCTGGGCCCCCTGCCGCGGGAAGGAGGAAGAGCGCGAGCCGGGGAAGCCCGTCTCTAGGGCAACAGGCAGGCAGGTCGGCCGGCAGACCCACGCCCCCCCCCCCGCGGGAGGAGGGCGCCGAATAGGCGTCTGCGGTGCTCCCCGCGCTACAGAAGGGCCGGGCAGATCACCTGTGGCATTCGGTGTGCGGGGAGACCGCCCCGCCGCCGTCAATCAAAGCCCGGACTCGCTCGAGGTTCGCAATGGGCGAGAGAAGAGGGCGGCCGGCACACGCAACAGATACTTTTGCCACATGCGCACAAACGCACCGCCGAGGCCTTGAATGCTCAGATGCGCGCCTGGAGAAGTTCCCCGCGCAGAACCCGGAGAGACCTCAGTCCCGGGGCTCGACCCCTCTTCTGGGGAGGAAGCGCGGAATGGTCACCCTTAATGGCTTTGGGTGATTAGCAGCGCCCAGCGCTTCTGAGGGATGAGGGAGTTTTTGGCACTAAACAGAGCCAAAAATGGGGGCTCAGTGCTGTTTGAAAATAAATTCGGCTCCTGAAACCCTTGTGCCCGGTGGGGCTCAGGTGGCTGCAAGCCAGCTGCAGGGCACCCCAGCTGTAGAAGACCAGTGGCCCCTCTGAGGACCTGAGAAGGTTTTCTTTCCAGGAAGTCACCTGGAGTCACCCAGAGCACAAGTGGAAGCCTGCAGACTGTCCTCCTTACTCATGCAGTCAGAATGCAGCAAACCCACTTGTGCCACCCAACGCCAAATACACCCAAAAGTTTGAAAGCTCTTTCTCACACCCACAGCAAACAGGTTGCCCAATGTGACCTCTCCCGGGATGTAAACAGCTCTACCTGAAACCTGTTGCTTACTCCATAGTTCTTTCCCTTCTGTTGCCTCACAGCTGTACAGGTAGTCCTCGACTTACAACCATTTGAAGTTACACCCGCATGGAAGAAAGGGACTTAATGACCGTTTTTCACACTTAACGACCATTGTAGCATCCCCTTGGTCTCACGGTCAGAATTTGGGCGCTTGGCAACTGGCGTGTATTTATGAGGGTTGCAGTGATGTGATCACCTTTTGCATGCTTCTGACAAAGTCAATGGAGAAGCCAGACTCACTTAACAACTGTATAACTAAACATAGTAGCTGCAGTGATTCACTTAACAAGTGTGGCAAGGTTGTAAAATGGGGCAAAGCTCGGCTTGCTTAGCCGTGGAAATTTTGGTTTCAATTGTGGTCGTACGTCAAGAACTACCTACAGCGCACCTGAGACCAATGCATGATGCGACACTTGATTGCCAACTGGGGGGAGGGGGAGACAAACTTGAGAATTCTCTTTCAAAGGCTGAAATGGAGGGAAAGACAGAATCCAACCACTTAATAGCAACAACAGACTGCATTCTGAGGAATGGACAAATTGTAGAGGAGAGTCCCAAGTCTGACTCTCACATGAACCCAAACAGCCTGGTTCCCCCTTCTTCTTCCTGGCACTACATCTGGATAGGGAGGAACTAGAGCATTTATGATTCCTTGGTAGTGCTTAAAGGAACATTCTTGAGTGTTTCAATGATCACGATTAGTAAAAGCCATAGGCTGTGCTGGACTGAGTCTGCCATGTTGTTTCGCTTGCAAAGCTGGAGTCTAGGCTTCAGCAATGCAGTTATACTTTGTGATAAACAACGTTGCTTTCCAAAGGCAGGTGAGCCTCACACACCTGCAGTTTTGATATCTTTACCAGACTGTGTTCATGTTCATTCAAGGTTAGCATGACCATGATCTCAGTTAGTGTCAGGGCTTCTGTGACAACCATAAACTAACAAAGAAGTTAGACTTACACAATAGATTATTAGTGCACTCTGTTGGGCTAAAATGTACGTTACTAGCTTGTGGCTCATGAGTCTTGCAAACCAGTCAACTCTATTAATTTAACTAACCATAATTAACTAACCATGGGCATGTGTATTGTGCCTTGGCATATCATCCAAACCTGAATCTTGAGTCACAAGTTCAAATGCCTTAACATTTTTATACCCCAGGTGAAGGTAACTGTGGTTCCCTTCATTCACACACACATAATAGTTTGAAGTTAAATATTTCTTGGCAGTTGAAATCAAAATAGGACCTCCATAAAATGGGCTTGGGCCAATACAACAGCACTTCTCTTCCCCTACTACTCTGCCCTCGCACACACACCCCAAGAGACTGGGGAAAGAAGCAGCAAAGCTTTGGCTAAATATTAACTGTGGGTAAATATATTGTACAAACACAACTGTAAAATAGATTGCACTCTCAGCAAGTAAAAAGACTGTGTTTGCATGGTAATAAGAAAAAAAATCAGTAGCACCAATTTATTTGTGTTCTCTTGCAACATCCTGCATTTGAACTAGCTTTAGAGTTAAATGTGTTCAAACTAAAAACATATATCACAAGGCAGCTTGAAAATGAGAACTTACAACAAAGAATTGCTGTCAACTTCAAGTTCCAGTTTCCCAAACCTTAGAATGGAAGCTAAACTTGATCCAAATGATCATGGTAAGGCACAAAACCTGATTACTGTATCTTGTTTAAGATGCAGGTCCTGACAGAAAATGAAGAGACCCCTAAGAAAATTGCATCACTGGACCTTAGAAACAGCTTTGAGACCCACACGGAAGAAACAATTTCTGACTTTGATGACGGTCTAATAGCAAAAATGACACTTGAGAGGTGGAAAGAACATGTCATAAAAAAATACATAAGACTGTACAGAGCAATAGAAAAATAAGGAAAAAATAAATGTGAAAATGAGCCAAAGTTAATTAAGAACAATAACATTATTTTTCAGATGTGTTGATAAATAAAAGCAAAATAATTAGTATGCCAGTTAATCAATGAAGATGGCAAAATTCTGCTGTAAGTATTAAAGGAAAAGCAGAGTTACTCAGTTCCTATTTTGGTCGGGTGTTCGCTAACAACAAAGTGACAGAACTAATATCCAGGGCTGGACGAATTCCATTGTAGAGTACTGGTTAATGGTCTGTTCAAACATTTATTGATCGCCTGCAAAAAGTTCTGAAAGACAGAAGAAATAGCAGACTGGAGGGGAACAGAAGTTTTCCTTCAAAAAGAAAAAGGAAGATACAGCAAACTATATCAATATCTGGGAGGATTTTCTAGCACATTATAAGAGATCAGTCAGTGAGTATCCCGAGGACTACTCCAGCCAGTCAAATGCAGCTAATCTTTTTATTAGCTAGCCGGCTTAAAAGACAATATTGGTAACATATCTTTCAAAGCATTAAATTCTAATGAGCAAGACAGTTCCATGGGTGCTGGATGGCTCACCAAATTTGGAAGTACGGGTTCCAAATCCTGGGATATAATGTATTTCAGTTTGTTGCATTGGTCAAATCTTACCTTGCGCACCACATCCAATTATGTGCACTGCAATTTAAGAATGGTTTAAAAAAGCTGAATCATAGAAAGACAATGAGGATATTCAGGTACTAAAAAGAGAGGTCCTCTGAAGAGAAATGGTAGGTAATTGGGAATAATTTAGCTTTGAAAAGAGAAGACTGAGTGAGGATATAATAGCAATCTTCAGATACTGTACGTCAAAGAATGTCATGTGACAAAAGTAAAGAGCTGTTTACTATCTTTCCAGGATTTGGACTTAGAGGAACGGATTTAAACTACAGAAAGACTGAATTCAATGAAATGTTAGAGAGAACTTCCTAAATCATCTAGAGATGTGATGTGCTCACTTTCCCTGCATGCATTTGAACAGGACCTAGACATCCACTTCTAGGAATGCTTCAGCTTGAATTCCTATGCAGAGCAGAAGTTTCATCTCATGGACCTCAAAGGTAAGGTTGTGTGAAACTTCAAAAATGTAAACATGTATTTTTTTACACGCAAATGTAGCCCTTGTTTGAAGCTGCCTGGTTAATTTGCTTTCCTCAATTTGCTTCAGAAACCCCCTCATCTTCATGTTGTGAGAGAAGGCAGGAGGAATCTTCTCCCCTGCATTGGCCAATATATTTCCAGGATTGATATCTGTGAAAATATCTGTGAACATGGCCACAACCTTGGTTAAGGTTATTTATTATACATTTCCAATAAACAGTGGCAGCTTAAAGGGAACCTGCTTTAAAAAACAATCCTGGTTATCCATATTTTGTGATAATATATTGTCAGTGTTGTTGGCTAACTTGTTTCAAACAACTTTGCTCTGGCAGTTTTATATCAGCACGAACCACTTTTTGGTCTTCCAGCAGGTATTTCACATTATCCTTTAGTAGAACTATGCAAAAGATTTCAATTATGTAAACAGTAGTTAAATTGACTACATTCAAAGAGTAGGAGTCCAGACTAATACTGCAATACACAAAGAGTATTAATTGTATGCATTTGCACAAACAAGGCAAATCCCTGCTAGGACCTGCTGTTTGTTTCACTGGACTTTTGTCAACAATTGACAGCCCTTTCTCCCAGTCAGTCCAATAAAGATTTACCTGGATATCACATTAACAATGGCTATCTTGCCTTTAAAGCTGATGAAAATCTTTAGATGAGGAGAGGCAACCCATGGCTATTTTTAGTCTCATAGAATCATAGGGCTGGGAGGGACCTTGGAGGTCTTCTAGTCCAATCCCCTGTCCAATGTAGGAGACCTTATATCATCCCGGGCAAATGGTTGTCAAATTTCCCCCCCGAAAACCTCCTGCAATGGAGCACCCAC